CATGGCTTACCCGGGAACGCTACAGCATGGCTTACCCGGGAACGCTATAGTATGGCTTACCCAGGAACACTATTGAGTAGCTAGTACTGCATGTGCAGACATGGGTAGGGTGGGGGGAAAATGCTTCTTAGGTGAAAACCAAGTAGCTCAGGAGACTTATTCCATTTATTTGATCTCCATTAGGAAAGCAAACCAAACAGAGAAAAACTGAGTGTAGGGAAACACCAGTAACAGGTGTCTCTGAGCAGTAATATTAAATAAAGGTTCTTACCTGTGCTTTCTAAAACATTAAAGACACAAAAGAAAGCCAACTGATAATGTAAACCGCCAAGTCCAGACAAATGTTATCCTATTCAAATTCAGAGGCCCATCTTCAAACTGAAAAGGAACCGCTTTGATTGACTTTCTACATTTCTTAAAAATGTCAATTGTCCCCAGATTTCTGGGAGCAATTCCTGATCCAGCACTACCTCCCCCCCTTCCATGCCACAGTGTGTAAGGAGCTGTCTCTCACTCTCGTCTTAGGGCAGGGATCTGTGTGCCGGACCCCAGGACAGTGCTGACAGCTGCTCAAAATGCTCACTGAACAGCAGGTTAACACATTTCAGCAGGGTGGTCCATGCCTACAGTCCCAGCACTCTGGAAGTGGGGCAAGAGGATCGGGAACACAAAGCCAGAGGCCGGCCTGGGCTGTGACGGCTTGGGCTGTGACGGGAACAAAGCCATGTGACCACCTGAATGTAATTCTCCCCTTATCATTACAGACTCACAGCAACACAGTAACACAGGGATCTTCCTGTGTTGCTTATTACAAAGTAACAAGAAACACTGTTGAGTTTTTACAAAGTAGCAACTTCTGTCAGCTGGGATAACCCAGGAGCAGGAGAAGTAGCTCTCCACAAGTAGTCATTTCCACAGTTCTGAGCAGTGAGGCCACGCCCACTGCAGCTCTGTGTACAAGACTCGGAGTTTATCGCTTTGGAGGCCTGGCTCAGGGCATGTGGAGGGGTCATCTGCAGCAATGATGTGGCCAAAGTGGCCTGCCAGATTTGGGGTTTTACTTTAGAAGGCAACCATGAAGTATGCTATCAAGATTTCTCAATTGGATACTTAAAATTTGAGGACCAACCAGTGACCTCTCTCCCCCTTTTCCAAATGATAAATACTTTACAAAACATCTACCACGTTGCTCAGTGGTTTGTACCTGTATTTATCAATAGGCTTTCTTCTTAATTAACTCACAGTCCTGGGCAGAAGTTAAGAAAGGAATAGAAGACATGACCTCAAACTGATGCCAAACACTATAAATGTGAAGACTGAGCCACTGAATCCCAGGAGCTTTAAAAACATGCAGAGAAAAGCTAGCTTTGGGAGAAGACTGGGCCTAGCCAAGCTATCACCAGCTGTGACACCCTGGGAAAGTCATTTACTGTTTCTGGGCCTCAGGCTTTCCCCCCTGTAAAATAGAAGGGTTGGATAAAAAGGAGGGCTTGGTCCAGGTGAGATCCCAATTTCCCTTTGTTTTCAGAGTCCTTGGCAGCTTGTCATTCCATGAAGTTCCTCCAGCATTCCCCCGGCTGTCTTCTCTGAAACAACTCTGCCTCCATCTTTGGACAGTTAAATGTAAAGGTGTAAATGCAAGGTGCACAGTCTAAGCCCACTGCGTCATCTGACACAGAGGACAGCTGCTGGAGATGCCCAGGGGACAGCCACAAAAGTATGACATTCCTCCCCAAGGCCCCTGAACCACAATTTCATCATTATGATTAGTATTTCCTGCATCTGCTGGGAACGGGTCAAAGGCGATTAGAGTATTGTCAGTGTGAGTTGTCCTGATATTCAGAGAAGGGCAAGGAATGCTAGAGATCACGCACTCAACTCTCCTGAGTTACAAGTATGGAGACACAGACAAACAGGAGAAAAATCCTTTTTGCACAACTTCTGTAGATCATAAGCACTGAATATAGGCAGATTTTTAGGCACCACTTGGCTCATTTCATTTATTTGTCCATTGATTTGTTGCTTGGATACTCAAGGCAGAGAAAGCAAAATGTAATTTACATGGAGGGGGCTTCCGGCACCTCTAAATTCACCTATGAGCTTTGCGTTAGTGAACCCCAAGATAACGTGTTATCCAGACCACGTGACCGGTAGAGAGTTCCTACAAACACCCTACATGTTCCACTCATATTTTCTGAATTTAATTCATCTTACTGCCCCAGAGAGAGAGAGAGAGAGAGAGAGAGAATAACCCACCACCACCAGCACATACTTTCATAGTTTGAGGTTTTTTTTTTTTTTTTTTTTTTTTTTTTTTTTTTTTTTTGGACTGTCTTGATTTTATTGATGGGATCTTCCAGACAGTCTTTGAAGGACAGCCAATCTGGAGTCCTGAGACCAAGTGAGGGGATAACTGTTTGACACAGGCTCACTGATCAGAGACCTGTTCTACTCTTGGGTGCGAACAAACACAAGCAGGCAGGAGGCCAGAAGCAGAAACACGAGAGTCTTTTGATGAAGCTGGACTTAAGCCCACAGTTGACACAATTGTGTAGGGGAGCTCCTATGCTCTGCTGCATTTGCTAACCTGGTTCAAACACCAGGAGTGTGTCACTCACACTGGACTGGCGTATTCACTCACACTTAAAATCACAGGAGTTACTAAGCAAAGAGTGCTGACTGGGCCCAAATTTGGTCACACAAGTTGACAACCCTGGTTTAAGGCTAAATGTTGTTTCACGTTAAAAATGACTTTTACTTTCTAAAGGCTTGGCGGGGACCTGTGTTGTGAAACTAACTTCTTAGGATTTGCATTTCTGGGATTTTTATGAATATAAAATAGGGCATGAGAAAAATGTTGCTCTTCGTATGGAATGTGAAAACAGATCTGAACCTAGGCCCCCAAGAAACTCTGCTAGTGAGGGCCTGGGTCTATTACAGAAACACCTCTCTGCATCCCTAATGGTAAAAGCATTTTCAATGCAAATGTTTCCTTGCAGCGGGTGATGAAATGTAAATGTGGTTTACCTGTTGGTGGTAGCGAAATGCCGTCCAGTCTTTCATCACCGTCAGCTACCTCTGCTGGTTACAAACATAAAACACAAATCTCATTAGTTGCAGGGAGCACATTCATTTTGCAGAATACAGGAACACAATTAAAACAATGCCAGTGTACACAGCGGCTTTCATCTTTCTTTTCCCTGTTCGCTTCACTTGGTTCACATTACAGGTCTGAGCATCATTATTTAAACACAATTTCGTTTGGATGCTCATGACAGGAAGTCAACCTTCCTGTACTAAAATTTGAAAACTCCTCTGGTCTTATTTTGTCTATCATGGGTGATTTCAGCTCATTTTCTCTTATTTTCATAAGCTTAAACCTACAACCAGCAGCAGGATGGACTGTTTGACCACACACCGAAGGCATTGCCTAGGGCCACTCATAGGGGAAATTCTCAGAATGAACTTTTCTTTGGAGATGCTTGCAATTGGAGTTGTCAGTTTAACTCCTGGATCCATTTAGTCATGAAGGAAGTTGCAGAGAGAAAATACATAGTTCTTCAAAAGAAGCCTCCCTTTTGTGATTTAAAATGCAAGCCTTGCTCTTCTGATATGTTTCAGTCTCCTTAGGGGTTTTGCAAAGGGTGATCCTTCTTCAGTCTCTTTCTCACACACCCACCCACACAAACACACACACACAACCTACGAAGTGCAAAGAGAAGGGTCTCACTAGTCTGTAACTCAATGGAGTAAGTATCCCCTAAAGCTCGAGGGACAGAGGAATCATTCACATATAGCTGCTGGGTAATTCTGATGAAGTCCTTCATATCCTGCTGAACCCCAGAGTCCCTGCTGACTGCGCTTACATGCGTTGGGGCCAGACTATTGCATCACCCGGTAGTGTGGAAACGGTAGAAAAGCCAAAGCAAATGCTATATTCTCATTTTCACTGTTAGTGCTTTAAACATGACCAGGGACAAACACAGCCGGAAATGTGCCACACTTTCTCTCTCTAGTTTAGTCTCTAATATCTTGTCCTTAAGTGGGTAGATCTGGAATCAGAGTCTGCTGGCCCATGTGATTTACCGCAGAAGACAGACAGAAGAAATACAGTCAAGGCCAGTTTTGTAGTCGGTAAGACTACCAAAAATGATGTTGATAACATTTAGTAGCAACAAGAAGAAGAAAGGCAGGACTGAGCTGGGCAAGGTGGTTTCCAGAAGATGGGACATACTAAAGTTCCCTAAGTAAAAGGCATGAGGTGCTCTGGCTGGCCTCTGCGTGTCAGCACACATGCTCGCATGCCCTTGCGACTCCCATTTTAGGCACCCAAAGAGGCCTGCGTTGTTGTCAGGTACCTTCCTCTACCACTCTCCACATAATTTCTTGGGGACAAGTTCTCATACTGAGCTCATAGTTTTAGCTAGACTGTCCAGTCAGTAAACCCTGGGCTGGACCTGCTCCTGCCACAACCTAGCGCCAGGGTTAAAGACATGCACCATCACAGCTGCCTGGGGCCTGTGGAAGCAAGAAGAGGACATTGGATCTCCTGGAAGTGGAGTCATAGCCTGTGGTGAGCCACAGGGTGGGTGCTGGGAACTGAACTCAGGTCCTCTGGAAAGGCAGCCTGTTGTCTTAATTGCTGAGCCTCCTCTCCAGTTCTTACCCGTGTTTCTTATGTGCAGGTCTACACAACCATGTGCTCTCGTAATAACAGAACATATATGATCTAAATATGAAAATGGTTACATATAAATTAGCATACGCTAGCTGTATGCTCGTGGCCACGTATCATGGGTGAAGAACATCAGTGTGTTACTTAATCAGAACACCTGTCTGTAACAACAAGCTCACAGCCGCTCTTCTCTAGCAATGATCAAGTTGTAAAATTTGGAAAAGACCGAGTAAGTCTAATAAAAATTTAGTAGCAGTGACAGCTTTACTCCTGGATCTAACGCAAACAATAAATTGTGATTTCAGCTCTGAGGAAGTAATCTAATAAAAATGATAAAAATCCACACCAGGAACGGAGTTCTTGTTATAGGAAAAAATTATTACATGTGATGAGAGCCCCAAATGAATTTGTTTGGATTTGCATAACGACCTTTGCAATCTTGCAGGGCTCCGCTTTCTCCTGCTGCCAGTGCACACTCCCCTAAGTGGTGAGCTGATGGGCTCTGCCCAGTTAGAGTCTGCAGCCAGTTCTAGGAACTGAGCCAAGTGTGATAAACAGGGCTGTGGAAGTTATGGAAGATCTTTAACATATTGTCTGTATTATCACTTTGATGGAAAATAATCAAGATGAAAAACCCAGGAGCCAGTCACATTATAGATCCTGGCTCTTTCAGAAAGGGCATGTGGCTCCCTTTTCTGTTTGCTGGGGTCCCACCTTTGTGCTAATGAGAAGGAAGTAAAGCAGTGTTTCTCACACAGACAAACTCTGTCTGCTGTGGCTGGCCGGGGGGCATCCTTTTGATCTGGTTTGGCCTATATGTCTGGGGAGGCTCCATCTTAGAGTCAGCTTCCTTCTCAGAGGTCAAGATTGCCTACTCATTACATCATAAATGTCCAGGTAGAGCATGTGTGTAAACAGCTCCAATGTCTCAAGCCACATCCTGGTGCCTGATGTCTCAGGTCAATCTTCTGAGCTAAGGAGTAAAGGGCTTCTGTATGAAAGAGGGCACTCGGGTGCTTGCTACAGTTTGGGTCCCTTTCTGGAGAAAGAGCCAAGTGTGTGCGTTTGTATGTGAAAGGTGAGAGAGACCAGGACACTTGGCCCTAGTCTCAGCACCTCACAAGAGAAGGATTAAAGTCTGCAGCCCCTCCCTGGACTGGACTCCTAATCTGAATCCTTGGCTCCTAGCTGGTACTGTTTTGGGATCTTGTAGGACCTTTCAGAGGCCTGGATGGCAGAAGCAGGTAACTAGGAGTAGGCTTATGGATTACAGTCTGGGCCTAGCTTCATGGTTCTATCCCGAGTCTTTCTCTGCTGTTTTCCAGAGATGTCAAGATGAGGAGTCCTAGTTACGTGCTATTGCCATCACCGAGTCACCTTCCTCATCATGACAAACTACATTTCTTCAAAACCTCCCTTGAGTGGTGTTTGTCACGTACTCTGTCACAGTGACGAGAGATCCACACAGGTAACACGGTGAAGGCACTAGGAGAATGACATTTAAACTTAGCTTATTTTCATCTTGTGGTCCAGCAAGACTGTGTCTTTTGTTCCATAGGAATAGCCTTCTCCAGTGTATCCTGATTTTCTATGGCACCTACCTTTAGAGGTCCAACAGGGCTTTACTCCAGAGGTGCGGGCCCTGGCACATGAAAGCACTGTGCTTTTCCAGGCAGTTTCTGTAGTGCTACAACTAGGAGCATCACCAGTTCTCACATTTTCCCACCAGTCCTCAGGAAACTGGACAGGAGCAGCCACTTGGGCAGCAGGTGTTAGCTGGGCTGCCTGGGGTAGTTCAAAATGAGAGCGCAGCTGAGAGCAGGGTGTGAATGAAGCACAGCAGTAAGGCGGCGACTCATGGGACACTGGTCCTTTGTCTTGCTGCTGCTAGATTCATGCCTTTTCGTGACACATTTTAGATTTCTTTCAAATCTGAATTATTTGGTGTCTGTGTATTTTGGGCCAACAATTTCTCCTTTCAAGTTAACAGGTATATGGACAGAACTCTCTACATATCCAACAGTTGAGCCATTCAAGCAGAAACTAGGAAACAAACCAAGGTCACACTTACTGGCACAGTAGGTGCCACTCAGGCCTAAGGCTGGAAACCGGCTTTGCCTGTAAAACTGAATTAAGACATCACTCAGTCGGAGATTATACACTGGGTAAGCTAGTGGACCACTCATAGGTCTTTCAACTGCTGAGTTTCCTCCTTCCTTTTTATTCTGTCTTAACCCTGTCCAGGAGTAGGAAGGGGTATAAAGTAATACAGGGGAGGGGGCTTTTGCTTCTGTGATGTAGCATGGAGCAGAAGCAGATGACTCTGAAGTACTCAAGTGAAAAGTCCTGGGAGCAGGAGGTTAATCTTAGGTATTTCCAGCTGGTCCGCATGGATGAGGTGAGGCCATGGGATACAACAGACTCTGATCTTTGGGAGAGGATGGGAGAAGAAAGGAGACAGGAAGGAAGTGCAGCAGTGAAGTGGAGAAGGAAGGAGAGAAATCTCTGGTGAAGTAGAATCAGGTGATGCTAAGATGAGAGCCATAAAGAGACAGGAGGCGTCGTAAGGACTTCCTTCCAGTGGACAGAGCTGTATAGAGGAAATGGAATAAACCTTTGAACCATAAGTGAGAAAATGGCAGTATCTGTCAGGATTTCACATTCTGACTAGGAAAGCAGGGTGTTTGCTGTGAGCACTGTGTTTCTCTTTCTGTAATCACTGATGTTTAATTAATTCACTCAAACTTTTCTTGAGGGTCAGCCCTGTCTCACACTATGTCATCTGGGACACAAACATGGCAGAGAAACAGACCCTGGAAACAGGAAAGGAACTCTATAGGTGACAGGAGTGAGTGTTGGGGCCTCTATGAAGGTTTCATAGAGGGGAAGCTCCGCAGTGCTTGTGAAAGGTGGGGGAGAGAAGCCGGCCACAGTGCAAGGGGGAAGGCTGGTTTGTCTGCAGGGCCTGAAGCTGGAGGCCTGGGCTGTGCTGCCAAGGACTGGGCCGACAAGCACTAGCTAGAGACTGCCATGGCCTGAATGTGTCCCTCAAAGCCAACACAACGGAGGCCCAATCCTGGGTACAGCAGAGCTGGCAGGAGAAGCCTGCTCACCTACAGCAGGAGGTGAGCACGCCACAACCCTGCCTGTCCTGCCTTTAAGAGGGGACTCATGGTCACCGGGGGAGGGGTGAGCGTGTCTTCCTTTGCTCTCTCTCACTCTCACTTTCTTTGTGCCTTTCTGCCAGGGGCTGACACAGCAAGCAAGCCTCCAGTCTTAGATTTCCAGCGTCCAGACCTGTGAGCCAATAAACTTCTGTTGGTTAAAATGAATGAAGACTCAGCTGTTCTGCTGTCGCAGCATCGGACACTCAGATCTGTTTAGCAGGGTACCCTCACACACCTCTCTAACATCTTAAATGAGGTGCAGCCCAGTTCCCAGCGTCCACCTTCCAAACAGTCTCCTGCTTCGGCCTCACACAGCCCTAAAGCCTGCTGTCAAGATGATCTTGGTTTTATTTTCATTTGACAAATAAAAAACTCAGGCATAAATTTAATAACCAAAAGGGAAATGATAAGCTCGCGTGCCACCGCAGTTCCTTTCTGCAGCGGGGCAGACTCCAGTGCATCAGAGTGGCGTTAGCTCCAACTGGCAACATGTCACAGCAAGGTGTTTTTGGAAGAATCTCAAGGCGCTGTTTGGATCAAGCGGCCCGAGGGAGACTCAAAGATCCATTCTCAATGCGGATGGCTTCCTAGTAGCTGCTCAGATAAAAGACATAGGAGGAAAGTTTTTTTTTTTTTTTTTTTTTTTTTTTTTTTTTTGCTGCTTGTTTTTTTCCCCTTTCTTGGCCTTCACTCTCACTGTTGAGTTCCTCTACCTTGTTGCTGCTGGTGTTGACGCCTTTGCTGACATCAGAAGCAGCTTCTTTCATTCGCTAGGACTTTCAGGCCTGTAGCCCCATGCACTGGGCAACTACTGGGTTCTGAGCCTCTCCATTTTTGGACTACTCTGACCATATTATGAAAGCAAACCTAAGAAAATTCTCTTTTAATATAAGAAAATCATGCATGTTTATGATGCACAACACAGTATTTTGAAATCGTACACACGTAGAATGTCTAATTGTGTGAATGGATCTATGTATCACACTTTGTGAAAATATATGATGTGAACTCAGTTATTTTCAAGTATAGTATAAATAACACTGATAGTCATGATGCCACATACGCCTTTTACGCCTTTTGTCTAACTGAAATTGTGCTCCTTTGCTGAACATCTTCCCAGAACCCCAGGCTCCTGGTGCCAGACCATCACTCTACAGATGCAAACAAGGGATTCCTTCTTTTTTCTATGGTTCAAAAGCATTTAGTTATGTACATAAAGCACATTTTCATTATCAATTGATCTAGTAAAGTGAATGATTATGTTGATTAAATATTTTAGAAGCTCTTAGGAAAAAGACCTCAATGAATACAGGAATGCAGATGTCTCTTAACATACTGGCTTTGTTTTGGGGTATACCAGAAATGAGTTTAGTGGGTCATATGAAAATTAAACTTTTTTTTCTTTTGCGTGTGTGTGCACCTGTGTGGGGCCAGGGCGCAATCTCAGGGTTTGTTATTCAGGCGCTGTTCCTCCCTGGCTTGGAACTCATCAAGCAGGCTAAGATAGCTGGCCAGCACCCTTCAGATCCAGCACTGAGATTACAAAGGCATGCTTTATTATTTGTCTGTTTTCTTCCTGGGTTCCAGGAACTTAACTCCACATGCTTGCGTGGTAAGCATATTGCCAGCCAAGCTAGCTCCCCGAGGCCCTATTTTTATTGTTTTTCAGGAACCTCAATATTGTTTTTGATTACAGATACACCAATTTACATGAAAGTTAAAACTAAAACCTAGAGGTTTGTGATCTACTAGAGATACACATTCTTGGATAAGAGGAAAGAACTGACCCCAGAGAAATTTCTAGCTGGTGAGGTGGTGTACTATCAGATTCGGAAGGCTGAGACTTCGATGACCAAATCTAGACAGTCACAGTCCAACTGGTATTCACTTTGCCTGGAAAAATAACTGCCAAGCTAGCAACTCTCAAGTTTTAAACACACACACACACACACACACACACACACACACACACACACACACA